TTGAACCTATATGGGATACGATATGCATAGTAAAGACTAACTTTATTTATTCATATTGGATTCAATTTCAAGGGTAAGGGTCATATAACTAGCGAAAGATTAATGCTTTCTAGCGCGACTTAATAAACATTCCCTATCAAATTGAGCTTTCGCTAAATTCAACTGGAAACTTTAGCGAGCGAGCATAGCCGCAATTAATTAAAATAATAGAAGCCAAAAATCCTAATTTTTTAAGCAAAATTAACTTTTACCCTGTTCGCTTTCAACAAACTATTCAAGATTGAAAAGGAAAAACTCATGAATGATGTATTTCTCGTCAATTATGAAGTCAAAATAACATGTGAAGTTAAGACTAGGAATGTCTGGTACAGTAACGGGTTAGGTGTGCTTTGTGACTGTAATCCTTTTACTGCGAAATAGTACAGATGGAAAGGTCCTATTGTCATTCGGTACTGAATAATTTGAGGAGTCAGTCCTCTCTATAATAGCACTGTGTTTGTTGATAATAATCATGTAATAAATTTCTATGCATTATAAATAATAAAAACGAACATAAACACTTAAATTGAGAACGCGTGCTACATCAATAGCAATGCAAGATGACTATTCTTGTATATACCAAACATTCACATGTGTTTCAACAATTAACAATTCGTTTTAAGTACTATTACTCGATGATCCAACCCCGGTTAGAGTCTTAGAACTAGATGAAGTGGGCGGTGCAGGGGACACCTTTGCAACGGACCCTAATCCAATTGTAGTACAAAAGGATAGGCTCTTGGTAATTTCTTTAGTCAGAATGGCCTCGGGTTCATTGTCAGTATCAGCGTTAGTAGACGGTGCGATGGTTGATGTCGTCTCTGCTGTTGTCGTTGATGTGTCTGCACCGGTATCAGTTTTATCCACATTATCAGATTTATTAGTAGAAGATTTGTCGAGTTTTGTGTCGTCCGGTGTTGGTATCTCAATTGTTGCCTTGTACGTGTAAGTTACTAGTAGGGGAAACTGAACCGATACAGAGAATGGATGGTGAGATGAGTACACAATTGACGGTTTTTACGCACAGTAGTCTGTGACATACCCTGAATTCTTCCATCTCAGCCAAAGGAGTGACTTCGAGGATGATACTTGTATAGCTTCCCTTTTTCTCGAAAATTCCTTCTGTTCCGTGCGTGTTTGCTGCTGCTTGTGAGTGGCGTCCCCTTGATGGCAATCTATCAGTGCCAAAGTCCTCATCATCATATTCCCATACTTCATTATATGGTGAGATCCCAAATTCTGACGTAGGTATAGCGATCTACTCACAAATAATACAAGATATAAGTAATAGTGAAACATATGTTTATGAGATAATTGACACAGAACGTGTATTCTGTGCCTATATATATTACCGTGCCATACGCGTCCTTCTCTTTTGTCGTTAATTTTATGTCGACTTCAACATCGAGAGGATTGGAAAACTTTAAAATAACTTGTGTCTTCTGATTTACCGTGAGCTTGGGCGACTTCGCTATCGTAATCTTGGGAATGTAATTTCTAAGTAAAATTACGGAAATTGTCTGTGAACCAGTATCTTTAATAAATAGTTTTATCCCCTGTCACACGAGTATCAGCTGAGCGTGTAATATAAGCTGTTAATATTATACTCACAACGCAACAAGTTTAATCTTGAATTTGATTGCCTGCGCTTTTTGCTCGGGCTTGATAAGGATGTGGTGACATGTTCGACATCTCTTGACTCTCTTCGTGCGCAGATGAATCCGTTGTGGTTGTAATTTCCTGATGTAAATATGTAAAATGACTAAATTGAGTTTCGTAGTCATTAAAAATATGGCTTTGGTATCCGTAATGTCTGATAATATGAAGAACACGCTGTGATACTCACTCGACCTTATACGGTTGATCGCTCAGCTGATCGAGCCTCTGGGTCAATGTTGTGACTACATGAATCAAAACGATAAGCATATAAAGTTTCCTACAACCACGTTTCTATTCCTCCATAGCATTTTCCAAAACAAACCAGCATTGGGATTATCCAGATTTGTCAATTCCTTAACCAGTCCTTCTTTTTCGACGACTTTGACAGCCGCTTCGTACGGTGTAACGTCGTCACTTTTCGGCTGGTTTTGTGTTGAGCCACTACTTCCGTAGCGGGAACTAAATCCATTCAATCCGGGGAAAAGAAAAAGATGTGACGAAAGCGTTGTAGAGGGTGCATTCGTACGCAGATGTTTTTCAAAATGTTCCTTAAGATGTTCAAATTCTTTGACATCTGGTTTCTCATCTTCAGTTTTCTGTAGTTGAACTATTGAAGATGGTTGATATTAATAAAAAACAAAATAGATACTCTCAATGTTTGCAACGACTTACGCGCCAATCCAGTAGCCTTTTCGAAGGTCATGTTTATCTCCTGTGAATCCCATCTACACACCCCACACAACAGAAAATAAGGTGCCCCGGTTGGTTGCGGTGTAGGTACCGGCGGAGGGGGTGCTGGGGCAGTATTAGGTAATAATCGAGGCGGAACGGCCGTGGCTGGTGTCACTGGAGGCGGTTCTGTACTAGCAACCACAGTAAGCGTGTTCTGGCAGATTGGACATTGGAAGCAGTTTCTTGCACACCTGTACGGGAAAGTAGAGGAAAAGTAATTGTTGATCAAAACTCATGTATGCGTAAATGATCATTAATTATTGAACCATATAAAATATTTTGCAATTTAATTCGATTCCTGTTGAAATGCTCACGGTCTCTGGCTCACCTGTTCCGCTCGCTTTTAACGCTTGCTGTAGGCACTTCGAATAAGCAATTTGGGCAATAGTAGCAAACGATTTCTTCCTGAACACATCTAGGGCATCTGATTTGATGACAATCCTCACAAAAATACAATTTACTTAGAGCAAAAGTCGAAAATACGGTTCTTGGAGAATACGCGTCCAGTGGGAACAATGTGTCTTCTTTTGTGGTATTTGCATACTCTTTGTTTTTATTGATCTCGGTGTTATTGTCGTCGTCCCTATCTTCAGCAATTTTCTTATCACTCTCTTTCGCTTCGTTCTCTTTCAATGTCAATAGAGATAAACTCCTGTTGACATCTGGACAAGAGCAATGATAATGCACAAACGGGCGTGCAGCGTTTACGGCTTCTGCAGTCATTAGTAAGGTATAAGAAGATGGAAAAGGGGCATAATTTGAATATTTAGTTATTCACTGGATTGAGCGGGAAAGGGAGACGATCATTACTTTATTTGGAGTAAGTCACAAGCTAATACTACATACTGCAGTTAGCGCGGGATTTAGAATAAACATTTCGATCCTTATGGCCGAGGTATTAAATTTACTTTTTTACAACAACGGAACCCTCGATAAAGTCTTTCTATTACGTACAGGGTACCCCAGCCGAAGGATTCTCATACCGGTACTCTGCTGTTTACGAGTCTCTGCTTGTTTTATATGTGCCGTAATCCCAATAATTATTACTCATGATAGTGAGGACAAGGATATGTTGTCCCTACTCAGATTACTTTTTCCAGTCAAGATGAAAAACAAACGGTCGCCCGGAATCAAGGCCGACGTAACAAAGCTTGCTGATTTCCCATCATTCAGACGCCCCCCAGAATAGCGTTTTTTGTTGTTACATGTCTCTGGTACCGAATCAGAGCAGTTTAAGTGTTCTTATAAGCTACACGTTCAAATATGATTTCAGTAACGACACCATAATCTCTCATCATTTCGAGATCTGATAAGTACAGATATTCTGTTAACTGATAAAATAGGGACATTTCCACCATCCTCATCTCATGCATAATCCAACATCAGTGAACCTTCCAAGTTATTGTTGGACAAGTCATGAGTTGACGGATTAGAAAGTTTCACTTTAACACTGATTGCAACCTGCATCTCCAAATTATAATTTCGTACAATAATCGAATGTCATCAAATAGTTCATATTAGCTCTCTAGAAGTCATTTGACACAAAACAATTCGGAGGTAGTGAAAATATCGGTGACATGTAATGTTCTCGAATTTGCCTTATCACCCTAACTGCCTGAGTTTATTTATTTTTCGTAAATTTATACGAAAACCTCTTCCTCGTAGGAGCGAACTCGCCCAACTTGTGTCCAACCATTTCTTCAGTTATGTTCACCGTAAGATAATCTTTTCCATTATGTACTGCAAATTTTAGTCCAACAAACGCAGGTAGAATAGTACAGGCTCGTGCTCCTGTGCGTATTGGAATGCTCTTCTCCACAGCCATACGAAGACCTGGTCATGATGATAACAACCATTCACGTATTAGCGAGACATGGATAGAGATAGAAAAATGATGGATAGTACAGCGAAGGTGTGAAATTATTCGTGAGTCAAGCAATATAGATCAAGCTCAAGCCAGTCGTCGAATTGTAGATGACAATTTACCTGGAAACTGCACGAAATGAGGGCCTATCGCAGAAGGATAAGACAATTTGTAAGCCTTTAGGAAACAAATGTTTCCGCTGTAAGAGCCTTCATAGATGGATATTACCTTTCCATGTCGAGCGAGCCAGGACAACAACCGACGGTCGCATTATGAGAAGCGAGAAAGTTACGGATTTCGATAAGGCGAATCACATGCCAAAATCACTAGAGATTGGCAGGGGTATGGTGGCTATTACTATTATCTATAAACCGTACTAGTACAGTCGTATGTAGATCAACACGTGATTTTATAATATATCACATGACCATGAACAATGAGATATTAATATCGTTTCATAATTTTATTTCATTCAATTCTGAAATACATATTCAGGGATACAACGGTGAGACTTATACTTTCTGGCAGCATATTCTGCCAACTTACCAGTGATTCCCTT